ACAGTGGTGGAGCCAGAAATTTCTAGAAGCCTGAGTAATTCCTATTTTACACAAATATTTATCTAAGAAAATATATTGTTTTTTATAATAAAAAGGAAATTTTTCCTTTGCACTTTGCCGACGAACCTGGGGCCCGCTAGAAACTTTTAGGAGCCCGAGTAATTCCATTTTACCCAAATATTTAATAAATAAAACAAAGATTCAAGCAAAAGTGACAAAAACATCTTTCAAATCGATCCATACGTTCTCCAAGTGCGTCTAAATGACAAAAGAAAAATCAACAAAACATGTGTCAACAAGTCCATCCATATACGTGCACAAACAAGTACGTTGCCTGAAAAGCAAAAAAGTGTTCAAAAATGCTAATGGCACAACATGTAGTGTGCTCCGATTCATCATTATCATATAGGGGTTTGATATTGCTAACCACGTGTTCCACGCAGTATGATATTGTGGCTGGACGTGGGGATCTGAACATGGGAAAAGTGAATATAGCGGCCGATGTGGTGCAAAAGTTAAAGAGCAAAAATAAGGTTACCTATATAGTAAGTACCCACGGTAACTGGGACAACTGAGAGCCACGTATTTAGCCTAACAACACGTAGAGGCGTAGAGCTGCGTCTCCTCGAGGCTGGGCTTTGCAACCTAAAAACCTGGGCTGAACTTATTCCAGTCTATGGGCTTCTTCTGGGCTGTATCAGGTACCAAAAAGCTAACCAGAGCGTGTGCCATCGTAGGTCGTAGCTTCCGCAGCCGCCGCTGCATTCGAATGAAAATTCAGGTTCAGTGCTTAAGAAAGTATAAGCAACTATAGGCATAACAGAATTCAACATTTCCACGAAGCACGTTTTTTTTTGGTTTTCGGAAGAATTGACCACACGACGATCAAATAGGCGACTGAACACCGATTGAAATCGCAAAAAAAATCAGTACCGTGTGCCCGGATGCTCACGTTCTTGGGCCACGACGCAAACCCAAACGATCTCTCACCCAACTCACCAAACACCACAGTTTCTAAAAAAAACCCACTGCAGCGGAGCTCAGTCAGCGCACAGCTCACAACGCTCCACTCGCGCAGCTCGCAGCGACCGGCCGGGATGGAGGCCGCCCGCGCACTTCTCATGCTCCGCCTGCCCAGCTCGCCGCGGTCGGGGGTGGAGCTCGCCCACGTGTAGCTCACGGTAGCCCGAGCGGAGCCCGCCCACGCACATCTCGCGCTCCGCCAGCCCTAGTTCTCCGTGGCCGGTGTGGATCTTGCCAGCACACAGCTTTGTGGCGGTCGGGATGGAACTCGCCCATGCACAACTCGCAGCGGAGCTTACACCACGTACCGCTCGTGCTCCACCCGCATAGTGTGGAGACCCACCGTGGCCTTCTCCACCAGAGTGGCGATCTCCCCACCACCGACGAGCTCTACACCGGTGAACTCCACACTCCGACGAGTCCCCATTCTCCCAAGCAGCAAGGAGATGTTGCGCTAAAACCGCACGTTGCAAGCGTCTGTTTCAAGTGTTTCATAATTATGTTGCAAGTTTTTTATATTAATGTTGCAAAAGTATATTGGGATGTTGCACATGTTGCAACGGTGTTTTCAAGTGTATGTTCGTAATGTTTCATCTGTTTTCAACCGTATGTTGCAAATATTTTATCTGGATGTTGCAAAAGTAGATCTGGATGTTGCATATCACTACCCCAGTTTTCGATATCACTGCCGGTTCAAAATCCCCCTTCACTGCCGGATTTGGCATATCGGCAGTGATGCTCGCTGGTTACTGCTGCCGGTACTTCACCCGGCAGTGATAAGGTTTAGAAAAACAAAAAAAACAATCCATCAAGCATGCTGGCTGGAGCATGCTCGTTATCGCCGCTATCGCCGCCACTACATCGAGCATTTCATCCAAGAAAAAAATTCAGACATCACAGATAAAGGACAGATTCAACACATCAGAAAAACTCGTCCACAAATCAATTCGTGCATCGCAGACGAAGGAGAAGGGTTCAACACATCACAAATCAACTCATCCATAAATCGATTCATACATCACAGACAAAGGAGTAGGATTGAACACACAAAAAAACTCATCTACACCGGCGGAGACACAGGAGCACCAGAAAGGGAGATTGCCGAGGAGACACAGCGCGGCTGCCTCCTCCTTCTCCAGTGGGCGAGCGCGGCTGCCTCCTCCTCCTTCGGCGGGCGCGCCCCTCCTCCCCTCCGGCGCGACGGCCCTCTCCCCTCCCTCTCTCCCTCAGGTGATGCGGGCGAGGAGGCCGGATCCGGCGGCGGGGAAGCCGGATCCGGTGGCGGGGAGGACGAATCCGATGGAGAGGAAGCCGGATCTAGTGGCGGGGAAGCCGGATCCGATGGTGGGCAACGCGGGCGGCGCAGGCGAGCGGCGGCGGTGGCCCTCTCCCCACGGCGGCGCTCCTCCCCTTCAACTCTGGCAGCGGCGTGGAGGCCGGATCCGGTCTCCCTACGGCGGCGCTCCTCTCCCTCCAACTCCGGTAGCGGCGTGGAGGCCGGATCCGGTGACGTGGAGGTCAGATCCGGCCTCCCCACGGCAGCACGTCACCGCGCTGGGTTGGCCTCGTGCCCGCACGTCACTGCCGCGGCCTCCATGGGTCCGCACCGCATGCTCGAGCACCTCCGACGGAGATGGCCGAGCGTCCTCCATCTTCACTCGAACGGCGCCGCCGCGGAGGTGATGGGGAAGAGCGGGAGCAGGCGTGGGGGCTTCGCGCCGCTCCTCGGGGACAGGTTGAGGAAGAAGCCCCTCTTCGGCGTGGCTCTCCTCGGCGGAGTGGAGGCGAGTGTGGTGTGGAGTTCTGGGGAGGAGGAGATGGGAGGCGTGCGGAGTTTTGGGGAGGAGGAGATGGGAGGCGTGCGGAGTTAACTGGAGTTGATAAATTTTTTGGGTCTGGAGTAGGCATCAGTGCCGGTTTTGGTAATTGAACCGATAGTAAATAGACATCACTGGCGGTTTATATTAACAACCGGCAGTGATGTGATCCTTTAATGTCGGTTTTAGTCCAGACTCAGTTATTTTCTTGTTTTCAAGCTCGGAAGCGTACATCACTGCCAGTTCTCACGAATCCGACAGTGATAAGGCGGCAGTGATGTCTAAATCTGTAGTAGTGTATACATGCACGTTGCAAGCATATATTCCAAGTGTTTTAGGTGATTCATATGTATGTTGCAAATGTTTCATCTAGATATTGCATATGTTTTGTAATCGCTACACACGTGTTTTCCTGGTGTTTCAGACATATGTTGCAAGTGTTTCAACTCTTTCGAACGTATGTTGTAAGTATTTATGTAGATGTTGTAAAAGTAAATCCAATGTTGCACATGTTGTAGTAGGACCCACCTGCCGTAGTCACGTGCTACCGTTGTTGCGCCCGCGTGCATGCGCGTGCGATTGGAGGGGGCGTGAGCGGCAGGCGTGGAAAACCAAGCGAACGCAGATCGATACACGGCCCCCGCATGGGTGCGCAGGCCCGTGAAATGGAGCGGCTCGGGCGCAATGTGAAGTAGGCACAGCAGCATGCATACGAGCGGGTGCAGCGTGGGCGTCCGGACGTTCAAGATAGCTAAAATCATTCCTCTTCCTATACAACTGTCCGTGACTTCAGTCTTGATAACACTAGAAGAAAAAACATTTTAAAAACTTGATAAAACCGACATGAAGAAAAAATAGCTGAAATCATTTTTCCATCATTATTTGCCCCATTAGAAACTAACATTTTACTAGAAGATGCAATTGAAACAAGATCATGGAAAAGACAATATAACGGTCAAGAATTAGTAATAAATAAAACAAGGATTCAAGCAAAAGCGACCAGAAACGACAAAGCATCTTTCAGGAAATCATCCATATATATACGTGCTCTAAAACGAGTACGTTGCCTGGAAAGCAAAAAGTGTTATTAGAAACAAAATGCTTAAAGCACATCATGTAGTGTGTGCCTCTATTCAAATTTCGTCATACAAGTTTTTGATATTGCTAACCACGTTTTCCACGCAGTCTGATAACAGTTGCACGACATGGGCACATGAACGTGGTAAAACTTATTATAACGGCCAATGTGGTACAAAAGTTAAACATAAAAGAATAAGTATACCCTTTTCCTTTTTTTTATTCAAAGTATACCCTTTTCCTTTTTTGAGTGGAAAGAATAAGGATACCTTTTTTTTTCTGAGGGGAAGTAAGGACCCACGGTATCCAGCCCAAGCAAAAAAGCCACGCATTAGCCCAACAACACGTAAAGCTGCGTCGCCGCGAGCCAGGACTTCGCACCCTAAGCCAGGGATGAACTTGTTCGGATCCGTGGGCCTCTTGTGGGCTGTATCAGGCCCAAGATTTGTCCCATCTTGTGGGTGACAAAAAAAAATTACTTGGCCCCAGGTGAGCCGTGAGCGTGTGCCATCGTGTAGCTTCCGCAGCCGCAGCCGCCGCTGCATTAATCGAAAATTCAGATTCAGTTCTCAAGAGAGTAAGAAACCATAGCACAACCGAATTCAACATTTTCACGAAGCACGTTTTTTCGGTTTTCGGAAGAATTGACCACATGACGATCAAATAGAAGAAATGTACAACAAAGCAGTGGGCTAATGATCCAACTGAACGCACACCGAGTACAACTGGCTATTTGATCATCAGTAGATTCCTCTATCATCAGCAGAATTCAACAATAACATAGCACGACGCCACAATCCAACAAGCACAGCTGCAGGGCAGAAAGACAAACAACTAAAAAGGTCTACAACTAAATCAACTTCCACAGTCATGGCCAAAAGCAACAGCAGTAACCCAACAAGTTGGCACCTCCTACCTAAAGTGACACAGATCAGTTCTCATCCAGAGCATCTGCTACGCTCTATCTTGGCTATTTCAACACGAGTTCATCGTTCAGTTTACTTCCTCCCTCCCTCCCAAAATGTGTCAGCACTGAGGGTGAACAAAAGAAAAAACGAAGACGAGCTGTCGCGACCAGTGATCCTACTCCTGGGGAGTCAAGCTGACGTTGATGTCAGGTGAAGCCCTGTACGCGATGGGCTGCGGCGAGCTTGCAGGCCAGCCAACCATGGTGAAGCCGGTCGAGTTCAGGTTCATGGCGTTGGCATGGGGCTGGGGAGGTGTGGCGGAGGGCGGCGGTGCATGGAACCCGTTCCCGGGAGCTGCCTGAGAGATCGGCGTGGCTGCAGTGAGCACTGGTGGGGGCACCACAGGTGCTGGTAACGCCGGAACGGGGGAGGGTTGTTGCTGCATGCTCATCCTCCTCTGATGCTGCTTCAGGCTGTTGGGCAGGAAGCTTCCAACGATCACCTGCCATGCCAAAGTTTATGTTAGAGAGTCACCAGTACTGCTTCAGGCGGCACTGAATCAACAAGGAAAGAATGGTTCCTGTTCTGGTGTGTTCAGTTTGGCTGTGACTGCATTTGAAAATTGGTTCAGGTTTCGGTTAGTTTTACCTGTATAGGACTTGCAGCACGCAGCATCCCAGCCACTACGCCGCCAACTACACGGCCATCAGGGCCAGCAAGAGAAACACTGAGCCCGCCGGTTCTCCTCCGACCTTCCTCAGCCATTGTGAAGGAGCCCATCAGCCGCAGAATCTCGAAACGGCCCTGAAGACCACAAACACACCAGTGCCGTTTGAACATGAGGAGCAAAAAACTCAATTGTACATGTGGACAGTGTTGTGTACGACATCATTGTGATACTACTGCAACAAAACAACTCGGAGACTTATGTTGTCATTTCTGAAGTTTATACTTTGGCAATTTTCCTTGTAGTGTTATGGAGTCTAATTTGCAGGTAGAAGCTTTTTCTGGTGCTGAAGTAAATCAAACCTATAATGAATGGACATAAAAGAAGGTGGAAGATGCACACAGAAGAAAATGGAAGAGACATATAAGAAAGTGCAAGGGGAGCCTTTTCCGTATAGCGTTGAATCTATGACAGTGTTTATCTGTTTGATGATTTATCAATCTCAATCAAGTCAAAGAATGTGACTTGAACTGATGAATTTCCGTTAAATAAGTGGCTGTGTTATATATATATATATATCACCGCAACATGATATATCAAATTAAGGTTGCCTTTCTTTCAAAAAAGAAATCATTGACAAGGAAGCTGCTATGCTTCATGTGCCCATAGACAGTTCTAAAACTACCTATACACCGAATTTATCCAGAGCAGCGATGATTCTCTAAGTCCTAATGGAACATTAGTAGGAGAGTGTCATATAAGATACATAGTAAGGCTTGACAGTCCGTACCCCGTACCTCGTAGGTGAAGGTGCTACCAGACGCATCCGGCTGCCTTAGTGTTACATTAGAGATTGTCCCGTTGGCAGAGAGGATGCAGACCGAGCGTGGACCTTTCTGAGAAAACGACATGATGCGTGCCGCCACATCCTACCAACGAATTGGACAAAGAGAGTTCAGTGACACCCTTAAGACAAGCACAACTGCACACTAGCCAAGCAATGCCAAACTAGCTCTAGCCGCAGACAAACATGATTCTGTAATGACATGGAGTACAGGTCTTACCTCCCCAGTACCCACGATGATGACATGAGGCGTGAAGCTCCCACCAGCTGACAGCGCGTACCATTCCCCTTTTGCATTTGAAGAACACCAATCAGACAGAGAAATGGACATTCTTTTTATGTAATTTAACTACTACTAAGTGATGAGGAAAAACAGACCTTAATCATGGCCAATATATAAATAACAAATTTAACTAAACCATGCCAAAGGATTAGGTCGATTAGGTAATCTGACGAGGAAAAATCTCCCAACCACAAATATTGGTATTTGGTAGGAAGAACGAAAGGGGATAAAACATATGAATGGCTTCAATAGTTGTACAAAGCACAGTGATGAATGCGACACAATAATGAACAGAAGAGGTAACGGATATTTGACTTGTCTTCAGTGTGAAAGAAAGGCACATCACATGCACTGCACACATCACCCTTACTGGACCCCATCCAAGCAATACAACAGAAATCGACAATCTGTTCGCTGAAAAAGCACAGCTGTTCGCTGATTCGTTGCTGGAAAAAATATCGTTTATTCGCTGAAATAATACCCCGTAATACAAGTGAACAGGGCCTTAGCAAGCCCAGCAAGAAATTCTAATGAGGCAAAAAAAAAAAAAATCGAAATTTCTGGTTGCTGAACAAGAAAGAGGGAAGCTTTGCATTTTGGAGGCAGAATACTGACCTAGAGTGGCTAGGATCTGGCGTCTCCCGGAGCCGCGCGGCCGGCCCCGGCGGCGCCCGGAGCTGAGGCTGGCGGGGTGCTCGCTCTGCCCGGCCGTCTGCATGCCGTTGTCCCCCGCGGCCGCACTCGGCTTGTCGCCGCCCAAGCTCCAGGCAAGTGGAGTCGCGGCGGCGTCCCGGGCGTGGCCAGCAGCCGCAGCCGGTGGCGGCGGCGGCGACGGCGTGGGGGACGTCGACGGAGAGGACTGGTACCCCTTCGCTGCTTCTTCTTGCGCCTCTGCCATGGCGACGTCTGCTGCTCCTCTGAACATGCCGTGGCCGCCGGATTCATGGCCACCTGCGGCCACTGCAATACCCTCCCTTCCCTCCATCTGCATGCCAAGGGCTCTCTTCTTGGTTGCAACTTGGAGCTTGCTTGCTGGGCAAATTTCTTGGCTCGCTTGGACTTGAACAGAGAACGGCAGACAAGAACAGACACCTATTCTAGTTTGGGTCTGTGTCCGGTTACTACCAGGCACCAGCAAGCAGCAGCTGGGTTATGCCAGTATTATACCCAAGTCATCACGGATAGTAGGATTTTGAATATGGTAAAATAAATGAGATTTTGGCACAAGAATGGCGGGTTTCCTGCTGCTCTGCGACTGCGATCCCCTCTCCTCTCTCTCTTTTGACCAACCATCTTGATTGGTTGGACTGCAAAAGTGTCCTACACTGCAGCCCAACATAACTTCCCTTTTTTTATTGAACAGTAAAGCAGCGAATGGGACAAACATTTTTTTCGAGAAATTTATAGGATAGTTATAAAAAAGGCTTTAAAGAATAGCATTGTCTAAATTGAGTGTTCAGTACTAGTAAAATGGAAATTGTATTTTAAAAAAATCACCAGCATGGTAAGTTGGTAACTCAGATTTGAATACTCTCTGCTTTTTTTCCTTTAAGTCTTTTCTTGCATGTTGATATATATTTAAGAGATGATCCAGCTGGTGAGAGGAAAGGAATCACATTGGGGATTGTACCATGCAGTTTCCAACTGAAATTACTATGTCCACACTGCACATCATGTTAACACATTTTTACAATAATATTTTTTAACATAGTGATAATACCGAGGCACGCGAAATGATGAAAAATGTAACTATTCTTTTAAACCAATAATTGATTTTCTCAACAACTGATTTAAAAGATAGCATATATTCTAAATGGTCATTTATTGAGATATACAAGGAGCATTTGCTTATTTATTTTCATGCGGTTGATATGTGATAATTCTACAATTAGTATTGTTATTAGTACTACTAATACCCATTGGTAGACCTAATAAAGCATTTCATTTCCCATCTTTCTATGCAGCTTTCCCAATGTTTCTCTTCTTTTTGAACCTTCAAACTCACGTAGGCCATTCTTTGGTAGAGATTCCGGTAGCTCTGGCTCCCACCGCATTTTTTACTGTAACGCTACTGTTTACAGTAGCTGAAGGCCGGTTCGCTTCAACTTAGAATCTATACTCGTAACAAAGAAGTTTTAGCCAACTTTAATACTAACCGAATAAGTCTTGATTTTCTCTCCCTTCCCTCTCTCTCACAGAGCTGACAAGAATAAGTGAAGCTAAAATTTTTGGCTCAAGCAGCTCTCGCGTGTCAGTGAGAGTGAGAGAGAGTGAGAGTGAGAGAGAGAGGAGAAGACGAGAGAGAAAATTAGATTTTGTCTACAGTGTATCTACAGTATTAATGTCATTAGGAGCCGAATCCACGGGAATCCATACCAAACGGGACTGTAAAAAGCCAGATTCTTGTTACTTCCTTGCTCTTTTATTTCTCAAGAAAAGCTCTAGGAGATGGGGAACTACATACTGCACAAAATTTATAATAAGGTCTTGTTTAGATGCTAAAAATTTTGGTAAAATGTAATGTAGTAGTGTTTTCGTTGTTATTTGACAATTAGTGTTCAATCATAGTCTAATTAGGCTTAAAAGATTCGTCTCATGGATTTCGTCTAAACTATGTAATTAGTTTTATTTTTTATTTTTATTTAATGCTTCATGCATGCGTCCTAAAGATTCGATGTGACGGGAAATCTTGAAAAATTTTGCAAAATTTTTTGCAACTAAGGCCCCGTTTAGATCCAATTTTTTTGGATTTTGGGTACTGTTGGATTTTGGGTACTGTAGTACTTTCGTTTGTATTTGACAATTAGTGTCTAATTATGGACTAATTAGGTTCAAAAGTTTCGTCTCGTGATTTTTCACCCAACTGTGGAATTAGTTTTTTTTTCATCTACATTTAGTACTCTATGCATATGCCGCAAGATTCGATGTGACAGGTACTGCACAAAAAATTTTTGAATCTAAACGAGGCCTAAACTGGACCCAAGCACGCGTAACCAAATTTGCAGAACCTGAACCTGTGCCTGTTTTGCTTGGGTCAGGTTTAGTTCTCCAAATTTCTAAATTTGGTATGGTGCAAAAAGAAGATTCGCGTCACATTAAATTTATGGTACATGCATGGAGTACTAAATATTGACGAAATCAAAAACTAAATGCACAGTTTAGTTGTATTTTGCGAGACGAACGTTTTGAGCCTAATTAGTCAATGATTGGATAATTATTACCAAATAAAAACAAAATGCTACTGTACACAGCCTGCCATGCACACAGCTGTCCAACTGACTGAGGGGATCAGTAGTAGCTGGGGAGTAAATTCAAAAGGCAAATAAAAAAGACAGTCAAATTAATGATGTGTGCTGGATGGAACTGTAAAAGCTTGAAATTCCTCGTTATCATAAAACAATACAATGAGTGTCCTCATTCAGAAAACAAAACTAATGCTTCTGCTAACAATATGACTCCATCCATAAAGAGTAGGATCCAGACAAAGTAGGTGGCCCCTTAAGAAAATAGCACTGTGTGGTATGAAACTGTGAACTATGAAGAGAAAATGTCTGAGTAGAATATGCATTATAAATGTTCAGGGAAGTTTACAAAATCAGCTTGTTCGCTTGTTGGTTTTAGCCAGAGCTTATCAGTTAGCTAATAGTATTTTTCTCTTACAACAAACCAGCATCAGCCTAGTTTATCAGCTAGCTAACAGTATTTTTCTCTTACAACAAACCAGCATCAGCCTAGTTTATCAGCTCAGAAATCAACCAGCGAACATGCTATATAAAGCAAGTGGACATGCTGCTACAGTAAACAACTGGAGCATGAAAGAGAGCCCAATTCAACTGTCCCTTGCCTTGGAAAAATAAAAGCTTACAGTGTCCACAGCTATATAGGCCTTTATGTACTCAGTCTAGAAAAGAACGTAAGTATGGAAAACATGTTTGTCAAACTAGATTTTATAGAAAATAATATTAGCATTTATATATCTAAATAAATGTATTATAAAAATATATTCTATAACTAATTTAATGATACTTATTTTGTCTAATAAATGTTAGTACTTTATTATATAATTCTAGTCAAAGTTTGAATTGTTTAGCTTCTTGAGATCTAATAATTGTATTTTTTTTTTTTTTTGACGGAGAGAGTAGGACTGCAGTTAGAGCAAATTTCCGCAACATCCACTGCAAAAGATGGAAATGTGTGAGCAGCAGATCAAAAGCTGGATACACAACGTACTACTCCTAGAAGCTATTGCATTTATTGCATTTTTCAAAAAGCTGATATAGAGAATAGGCAGTTCGAAAACGTACAGCTTGGTAGATAGGAGTAGATAGTTGGAAGACCTCATAAGAAAGAAAGTAAAAAACTTGTCACCTGCTTATCATTTTCTTCTGGGGCTTTAGCATTTTGAAATGGTCTACTCAACAAAAAAAAATGATGTTGATTTGATTCACCAGTTGTAATGCAGACCACAGCATATTTGAGTTTTATATAACCTGACAAACTGTTGCTGGCCCTTATTAGCTCAGTGAACAACAAGACAGCAAGAAAGACAACTAACACAGAGAGATTTAAAGTGCTAAACATCTGTTACACAGATTAGGGCACTGTTGGAGTCACTGTTCGCTAAACAGTACGAAAACTGCACTTTCAATCATCAGAGAGGAAAAACAGAGAGTGTTCGGCTGGACTGAATTCTTTACTGTTTATACTGAAAAACACTGTTTATACTAGAATGTTGTGAGAGAAAATACTGGTCCGGTTGGGAAAATAAGCCAACCAGCCAGCTGAACACAGCCAAAGTTGACGGCAACAAAATAGCAGGAGAATATTACCAAAAAAAAACTTTAAGAGCAGGAAAGTAACATATATGACGGCCAGCTTAAGATGATCATGGTTTCAGATTAAACTAGAACACTCATGATAAGGAAAAAAATACCCTATAAATAGATCATACACCCATTAAGAAAAATGTGCTGCCAAATTAAAGATGTCACTTTATTACCAAGGTGAGATAGTGGAATGTCTTTATTAGCACAAGGGGACATTTTTCGTTCGCAAGACCGGGTCATGTTCAATTGATAGCATCGTGAAGAAATGCATGGTCAGATAAAATGAAAGTTCAGACATGTCATAGTAGTTTATTAACCATTAGCATGATCATGTTGATGATCATCATTGTTTGAAAGTAGTTTCTCTTTTCTTCTGAGTCAGAGAAAATAGATCCCCAAACTGTTTGATTCCCTGCCTTTTTTTTTCTCAAACATGAAACAATGTTTTTCTCTCACAACAAATCAGCTTCAGCCGGCTTATCACCGCAGAAACCATCATACGAACAGATTGATTATAATCTCAATTCGGAGGCTGGGAGCAGCCTGTATTCAGTTGGTGAGTTCAAATGCTCAAGGATCACTAAGAAGAAACACCAGGAAGACTGGAAGAGTACTTAAAAACATGGTTCATTTGCTTGTTATTAGTCCAAATCCATCAGTTATGGTTGTGGAACAGATACAGAACAAACCAAGCATGATAAAGTATTTCAAGGCTTAGAAGTGAGAAAGTCTAATTACACACTCTGAACGATCTTGTGTTCAAAATTCAAACAGGTAACCATAAAACGACAACACAAATATCTTGAAGAATCCATTTTTTGTACTCTGTATGTAGTCACCAAGGAGAAAACAAAGTTGTGGTGACTTTCATTCGAGATATATATTGTCAGATAATGAGTTTGGCCGGCTTAATGAATACTAGCTGTACTTGCTTCAAGAGCACCCCACAAGGAACCAAAACTCGCCTCCCAAGGCTTAGTATAACAGAGCTGATTATCGATGAGGCTTTGATTAAAGAGTCGTCATGGTGGTGCCATGTGATTAAGCCAAAAAAAATGGGTATTCTTGCATCAAACGTTTTTGCAGGCTTCTTGTGAGTATAAAACAAATGGGAGAAAGGGAAAGCAGCAGGTCACGCGCCCTTTCCTGTGTCACAACTTTCAAT